CTAGTAAAGCAAGCAAAACGCTGGCTTGCATCCACAGATGCTTCTCAAGCAAATCCCAGGATGCCATTCTCCCCTTGTACTTAGCCTTGGCGAGGCCACAGCTGGAGTACTGCATCCAGTTTTGGGCCCCACAATTCAAAAAGGATGTGGAGAAGCTTGAGAGAGTCCAGAGAAGAGCCATGCGCATGATCAGAGGTCAGGAAAACAGACCTTACGATGACAGGCTGAGAGCTATGGGGCTCTTTAGCCTGAAAAAGCACAGGCTCAGAAGTGATCTGATGGCCACCTATAAGTTTATCAGGGGTGACCACCAGTATCTGGGGGAACGTTTGTTCACCAGAACGCCCCAAGGGATGACGGTCAAACGTTTATAAACTCCTGCAAGACCGTTTTAGGCTGGATATAAGGAAGAATGTCTTTACTATCCAAGCCCCCAAGGTCTGGAATATCCTGCCATCGGAGGTGGTTCAAGCACCTACAATGAACACCTTCAAGAGAAATTTGGATGCTTCTCTTGCTGGGATCCTATGACCCCAGCTGACTTCCTGCCCCTTGGGCAGGGGGCTGGACTCGATGATCTTCTGAGGTCCCTTCCAGCCCTAATGTCTATGAAATCTATGACTTACTGATTTTAACACGCTGATTGTCTTTGGCAATTATTGGCAAACTACTAATACCCCCAAAAGTAGGGAAGTAGTGTTTGGTTTTGTGGATCTCTGAGGAAACAGAGTACCAATATTCCACAGCAGAATACTGCTACAGCTCAGTAATACAGCTTTCAAAGCTCACAAAGTGCCTCTCATATCTGAACCATACTTAAAAAGAACCAGGTGGAGACTGATGATCTTTGGATGGAGTAACTGCAGGCCACATGGGATGTAGGCAGCAAGTGGTAAGTCCAAGCAATTAAACACTATATAATTGTAAATTAGCTCTAAATAATAAGGGAAGACTGGTACCTGCAGAGCCTTAAAATGCTGTTCGGTTATGTCACAGTTAGTATTTAGGAGATCCAGCTGAAGACTTGCTTCATAAATCCTGAAAAAGCTGCTGTATGACTTGAGAAGAGTTACCCAGGTATTAGGGAAGGGGGTAATTAAGGACAAGTGCATATGCTTCTGAAAAGAGAGAGAAAATGTTTTACACTGTCCAAAGCAGAGTAAAGTATAGCAAATGAAAGAGTTATCCATCTTTAGCTATTCTGAAGCAAATGCCTGAATGAATGGCTCTCCATTACAATGTATGTATATTAGGAACTCAGGCTTTGCTACATTTGTGGCTGTACACCCTTGGCTGAGCTGGTACCTCTATCTATGGTGGCTTTGTGATGTTGCCATGTTTGCAGAATGGCTTTCACAGAGGTCTGAATTCTGTATCCATTTAAAATGTCTCATAGACCAGTTAATGGTGTCTGTCATCACAATGTGTCTTTATTCCAGTTTGGGGAAGCTGATCAATACTGCAAGCCAGGAGACTGCCCTACAAACACAGCCTTTCCCTGTGTATTATCATCACTTGCATTGCAATAGTAGACTGAGATGGAGCTGTAAGTATACAAAAAGTGAAAGAAAGCTCTCCAGGAAGCTCCCACTCAGCCATTCACTCTAATTCAACTAAGAAGCTTATTTGAAAAAGTATGGCAAAACTAATCACATTGCTGTTTGGCCATCTCTGCTTACATCTTTGTTGCCACCACCGGGTGTCTCTGCATTTCTTCTGACAAAGACCAAAAGGTCTTGTTACACAGGATTACCCTGCCCCTGCAAGACAGCTCCAGCTTCTTTAAGATTATTTGAAGTTAAAACCCCCAAATATCACTTCTTTGTAGATTTTTTTCAGTAACAGAGAAATTGTTTTGGTTTGGGAACAGTCACGATAAACATTGCTTCTCACTGGACAATAGGCGCTTGTATCCTTTGGGGACTGAAAGTGCTGGCAGTACCAAGATGTTCTGCCAGCCTAGTATCTTGTGGTTCATGAAACAATACTGAATAGACTGGGCATCTTCAGGGTCCAGTTATTCCCTCATGTTGGGGGCATTGTACATCTGAGAGAATATTTAAGTTCCCTATTTAGATATTTATCAGGGTCTGACCTACACAGCAGTAGCTCTTACAAAGAAATGGGTGTGCTAGTGTAATGGATTTATGTACAGAGCTGTACAGCTGAACACACCTGGCCAAATGCCCTGAATGTGTTTTGTTTTTTTTTCCAAGCACTGTTTGGTTACACTGAACATACACCCTGTCATATTGAATGTAATAGTCTGAATGCTTGTAATGGTTGCCCATTAGCCAGTTTAGAAAAAGACAAGATTTATCTTTTTATCTAGGCCATTGTTTTGGCCTACCTGCAGAATGTCCTGGCCTGGCTCAAAGTCTTAACTCTTGAATTTTATCTCTAAAGGCCTTTAACAAGGTTAACATAAAATGACCCTTAAGCAGACATCCCACATTCCGAGAAATCAAACCCTAGGAGCCTTTGAAAAGAGATTGTAAAAGAAAGGTCACTGCAGTGGTGTGGAAATTCCCCAAAGTAACTAAATGGTCAACAAAAGAAACTGAACCCAGCAGAAATCTGTTAAGAAAGATCCAAGCCCAAATTTGGGAGTAGTGACAGGTTTGGGTAGGAGGGGCCCAAGACAGTAACTCACGCAATAAAAACTGTAACTTACAGTCCCAATTTGGAGGTAACCTCACTTGCAGAACAACGAAGGAAGAATAGCAAGTGTAGGCTGGATCAGACTGATCACCTGAACCACCCTCTCCGTGAACACGAATCTCTTAGTTCACGCTGAAACCGCAGAGTGCCCGAGTGGGACTGAAGGAAGGGGACTTGTTCCTATCACTGCTGAGGCCAGCCCATTGAACCGTACTACTGAGGCCAACCCATTAAATTGTACTACTGAGGAATGAAACCATATTTAGGTGTTTGGCTGCTTGGAATTCTAGGATTGTAAGTATAATATAGTAATAACTTTTCTGGTTCAAATTATACAGTTAGTTGTAATTGTAGTTGTTTTTGTAATACTAATTCTTATAACATTGGGAAGGAAGTGCATTTGGAGCATTGTTTCTGATATATGTAGTTATTGTGTTCTTAATGTTTGTGGTATTTCTTAAAGCTAAGCAGTGTTATATGCATAGCAAAGAAATTTAAAATAAAATTGTGTTGTATGTATGAATTAAGTGTGCAATCATTGTGAAATCGTGCAAGTAGCTAAAAATTCCCCCAGCCAACGCATCAAACGAATCAGTAAGTTGTGTGGGATCTTCTCTATTCCATAACCCACTAGAGACATGCCCTGAATGTGGTTTTTTTCCAAGCACTGTTTGGTTACACTGAACATACACCCAAAGACAGGCTTTTGACTTAACAGTACAGCTCCCACTTGACTGAATGCACACCTGCTTCTGCTGCTGTGATCATTTTAGGATAAGATTTAGGGAGGCCTGTTCAAGAGCAGGCTTTGTAACTGGTAACATTAGAGAAAGAGTTGGAGCAAGCCATGTGCCATCTGGGTCTACATCCAAACTGCAGGTTTGTTCTGCATAAATTCTAGTCCATTTGAGTTCTGGGAGGCCTTGGGTTGCTTTTCTCACCAGGGGATACCAATGCAAAGATTGCTAACGGCAGGGCTGAGCTGTGTAACTGTGTGGGTGGATGATAAGGACTAGAGTTTCAGGTTTATCCCTGTGCAGAAGCAGAAACTGTTCAGTGAGGTAGGAAAAATATTTTTTTACCTCTACCACTGCCCAACAACTTGACATCCAGATTGGTGCTGGTGAGGCCCTGCCAGCTGAACTTCCTCTTAAACCTGGCACCTCATCAACACCAGCATTAGCACCACCAAAACAAGCAGGGAGGCTTGGTTCCAAGCTTTTAGAGTATCGTATCTACTCGAATCTAAAATGAATTTGCATTTAATATGACCCCACTGTAATTTGATTCTAGACATGGACAATTATGAATGTTATAATTTTCCATGTCTAGAATCTAATTAGTGGAGGTCAACTTAAATTCATCCCCTCCAAAGCAGCAGTGGGGTAAAGGATCAGACCCCTGCCTCTTTCCTCCCCTGCTTGTGCCCTCTGTCACTCTACCCATGCCTGCTCTACCCATGCCTACCCCCCTGCCTCTTGCCCCCTGCGCCTGTGCCTGCCCCCTGCTGCCTTTCCCCTGCCCCTTGTCCCCTGTATCTGTGCCACCTGCCTTCCATGCCCTGCTCTCCCCTGCCACTTACCTTCTGGGTGGCTCTGGTTCTAGCTCCAAGGCAGTCAGCAGTGGTGCCCAGCCTGGCTATAAAGAAGTGGTGGTGGCAGCTTTGGGACCAGCTACATTAGGACTAGGGGGACTGGAGCAAGATGGAGCTGATGGTAAGGTTGGGGGTGGGGAGGGGGAATCAAGTGGAGCTGATGATAAGCTACTGGTAAGCAGTGAGTGGGACAAGTGGCCAGGGAGCAGCCCGCAGGTAGGGGTGGGCTGCATGGTCTTCCCTGCTTACCCCAAGCTACACACTGTGGATCTCCCCCACATGCCTCTGCAGCATCACAGAGTCTCACCTGCCACCCCCCCCCCCCCCCCCCCCCCGCCCACCCCCCCCCCCGCTCCGTGCACACCCCCCCACTGCACAAGCCACCCCAGCCTGGGACAGGCAATAGCCCAGCTCTGGCTCCAGTCCTGAGCCCAGGGCCAAAGCCAGAACTCAGCTGCTATCTGCCCTAAGCCAATACTTCTAGCTAAGATGAGGTGCTTTTTTTGGCCAGTGTTGATTTCAAGTAAATAGAGCACATCTAAATCTCCAGCTCCTGAGCAGGGAGGCCTAGAGCTTCAAAGCAAGCCTCTATAAAACATATTCATTTCAGTGTCTGTGGGAGTGTACTCTAGACAACTCAACAATAAATCATGTTGTAGGGGAATGGCCCTGAATTCACATTAGTTGGCAAAGAGCTGTGTACATGATATCACGCATTTGCCTGACCTTGCAGTGTCCCTGGGGTTAAGCGCACTGATATCTTCTTTCCCAGAATGAGCTTCATGTGGGTGGCCAAGAGGACAAAAAAAGGGAGCAGTGCTGAAGAAGATAAGAATGCAAGGGGTTTGGAGAGAATGCTGGATGCCTGACAAGATGGCAGTGAAAAGGGCAAAGGGAGAAGACATCACATGCATGCAAGGTAAACAGACATTTTCCCTTGTGATTTCTGCAGTAAACCGAGTTAATCCTCTGCCACCTGGTTCATTACTTCCCCAGGTCAGAAGAAAATGACCTCCTGTCTCTAGTAGTAGTCAGTGAGCATGTCTACATGTGAAATTAATATGACAAAATAAACTGGCACTTACTGTGCCAATTTATTGCTCTCTGGTGCAAGGTTTACTTGTGCACCTTGGACGATAACATGCTAAACTAGGTTGGAGCAACCCTGGCTGGCAAGGGGCACAGGGGGATCAACCTGCTGTTCCCCCCCAGCTCAATGTGTTGCAGAGGGGCTGGCTGGGACATGAGTGTGCTCCAGTGTGGGGCTAGCCAGCAGGCAGCCCTTGTACTGAAGCACCTTCGTGCCCCAGCCCGTCCTGTCAGCATCTACGTGTGTGTTGCTGCACACTGAAGAATGCCACCCTAGGATAGTACTTGTGTTTACAAGCACTAACCTATGGCAGAGTGAATTAGTTTCCTGCAGCCTAATTGGGCCACGTGTGTAGATGTTGAGACTTTATTGTGGAGCTAATTAGGCAACTAAACTAAATACACCCAGCACTGGATAATTTAGAGGAGAGAGTAATACTGTGCCATGATAGAAATTTCCTTCCAGACCATAACTGATATTTCATTCATCTTTCTTTCTCCCCCTTGATCTTTACCCCATAATCACTTATAGCCACACGAGCAACTTCCATTTTTAAGGAAATAGGCAAACAGGGACTTTTTTTTCAAGTGCATCCCCACTTTAAGTCTTGTCTCCATTAACCACAAAACAGAGAGCAAATGCCTGTTGCTGAATCCAGGGTCATGATCCATTTATATTGGCCAGCGTAGGAGTTTCTTCTACCTTGAATTACAGAGGATATGTTGCGGTTCCTTCCCTCTACTTCCTAGTGTGTGATGTGAGATGCAGGCATGCTCAGTTGCCTTTGCCTACCCCTCCTATCTCAGCAACAGTGCCTACAATACTAAGAGACCGGTTGCATCAGAAGGGGAGCTGGAAAGCCATCTTTGCTAGCAGCTGGGAGTGAGAGAGGCAGCAGAACCATAGCAGCTCAGCAGCCTGCCTGGAAGAAAACAATGTGAGTATCCCTTGAACGAGAGCTCAATGGCGGGAAGCAGGAGGCTGAGGATCTGAGGGTTGGATGTGTCTGGAGCAAGGGAGCCTGGTGCACGCTTGCAGGGCGCTGTCCATCAGTTGTGGTGCTGAAACTCGGAATACTGAGCCGTGGATGGGCGTGATTCTTATTCACAGATAAAGGGGAGCCTCATGGCTTTAAGCTCGCTGAGCCGTCCTCTGAAGCAAGGTCAAGCCCGGGATTGTACATGGCTCTGCCGCCCATTCTACTTTCAGCCTGTAAACACCTAACTCTTAAAGACTATCCTCCCTAAATGCTTAGTCTAGGGAAACACCCTCTGAAAGTTTGCTGCTGCTTTTGAGACATACAGAGTAGAGTTGCTCTGTGGACTTTGGAAAAATGGTTAATTCTTACCTTACCTTGCTGCATTCAAAACAAAGGAGGGATTAATTTTTGCTATCAAATGTAGCCTATGTGGGGTTTTTTAGATGTTATGTGACTAGACATGTGCTGTGTGGGTGGGGTACAGAGCTGGGTGTGTGAATGAGACATCTGAAGCTTCTGTAGCCTCATAGGGAGGCTGGTTGTAACAGGGAAATGGCATGGAGTAAGCAGTTTGGGACTCAGAAATGTTTTCAAAGGCTGAGGTGTGCACAGGGGGCTGGTGTGCATTGTCAGGATCCAGAGTTTTTAGGATGCAGCAGCCAAGTCTGATCAAGACTGTGGCTTCTGACCTGGGAGCCTTTTGCTGTGGTGGGTGGTGCTTTATTTTCAGATGTTGGACAGCACTAAAGTGTATTTAAGCTTTCATGAGGCGTGTAATAATGCTGGGCCAAGATCCCCAGCTGGTGTAAATCTACATCGGTATCTGCTCCTGGGAGTTGCATGTATTTAGAGCAGCTGAGAATCTGACCCTTTATACTCACTATTTAATTATGTTTTAAATAAAAAATTCAGATATCAAATGGCCTGAACAAAACCTATTTAACATCAGTCTGGTTTGATACAGCTGTGGATGACACTGTGTCATCCCAGAATGATGCTTATTGCATCTTTAAACAGTTAGCTCTATCTTTAACTGCAATGTGCATGACAGCAGTAAGTTTCTCGTAGTCCCCAGTGAAACCACAGAAGTCAACACAGGAGATATGGCACTGTAAATGAAGAAGATCTGGCCCACTCCCTTAACAAAATAGTTCAGAATGCTAAGCTCTTAAATGAGTCCTTTGAATCTGATATTCAATATTTCATTTGAATAAATGTCCATTTATGATGAGTACTCAGTGTTGATTGGAACATCACAAAAATATAACAGTAAAATACTTCTAATGCTATACAGAAGAAGTAGAAAATAGATTGGGCCAAATCACAAGTCAGTGCCAACTGATGGAACAGTCTATCAGCTTTGCTTCCTCAAAATACAGTTATTTCCTATTCTGGCCTATTTTTAATATAAATGTTTTTAAGAAAATTCCCTCCAATCTCTTTGAGATCTCTTTGTTTTTTTTCATTTTCTTATTCATACATTAAAATTTCAGAAAACAGCCTTTCATCCACAGCATCCAGGATGGATGTTTCCAAGCCAGAACTCTTCAGAAGCCAAAGAATAGCAATCTGAAGAAATCGCCTCGCTTAATATGTACCCCTGAACTTCAATAAATGGTGTTGAACTTGCTCTGTGAATGGCTAGCTCTTTGTACACTGTTGCCTAGTTGTATATATATCAGGAGTCAGGTAATGATATTGGATACTTTTATTTGTATGTGAGCTGTTCTTCAGTGATTAAAACAACAGTTTCCTGCTGCAAGATTATAGTACCCAGATTGTTCAAACAGTCTTTCAGACTATATTTATCTTTCTAGTATGTGTTTCCACCTTGGCATATTTAATTGTTCACAACCAAATCTTTTTAAGTAAAAGAAGAAAGGTTGATTTTGATGTAAGGACTTAGTTTTCCTCCCCTAGAAGACCTCCTCTAGTTTCATTAGATTAATCTAGGGAAAAATGGAAAGTCAGCCATTGTCTTTTTTAACCTTTTATCTTACTGATCATCATGGATAAGACTGGATGAGCAACATTTCATTAAGTGGATATTAATACATTTAATATATTCAGATTATCTCGGTTTCATTGTGAAACTGATGAAAGGAAAAGTTCTTGACAAATACCACTAGCCATCAATCTTGAACAACAGGTGAATATCAGAAGATACATTTATCTTGATCAAAAAATTCTAGTAGTGCCTCTGGGTATTAATTTGCTTACAGGAACTTGTTGCTAATGACCTCTATTGTGTAATAGCTATTTTTATATTGTCCTATTATGTCCAGTTCACTATAAATGTATGCAGCACTTCACATACCAGTGAGAAGAAAAGGGACAAGATCCTCGTCTGATATAAATTATCACCTGTGTGGTGGTTTTAGAAGGGTGCCACTGATTTACACTACTAGAGAATCTGGTTTGTTGCTCTCTGTTTCATTGTGATGGGTACATTACATCCAATTATCTAGCAGTCTCAGAAGACGGTGGGAAGGGGAGACAGTGTGAAAAGGGAATCGGAATAGGAAAAATGTAAGATCAAAGGAGGGACTTGAAGTCAAAGAAGAGATCATGGCTTGTTTGGAAAGATGGAGAGACTATTCCAAGCATAAGGATAAGAAGCATGGAGTCAAAATGGAAAGAGACCAAAGGAACAATTAGGAGAGGACTGAGTATAAGAAAATGAGTGTGGAGAGGGCACATGGACAAGAAGGGGGAGTTACTTGTAACATTTGTCCATCTATACAAAATAATACAATGACATCAGGTGAAGTTAATGGTTTAGTTTCTTCTTTCCTTACAGTGATAACATCAGTGAATAATTATACATAATGGAAGCTAACAGCATCAAGTAACCTGTTGTTTACACATAAGTCAATGACCAGACATCTGGGTGCCTTCAATTAAATTTATCTTACACAAATTAGTCTGTTGTAGGATGCAGTTTTTCTATGACATGTAATAAGGCAAAGTACCGTACTTATTCATATGCCACATGCACCTTTTCCCCAAAAATTAGCCCCCCAGAATTGTGGTGTGGAAACAACACTTTATTTACAGGAACTTCTACAAAGAACTACTTAAAGTACGGAAGTAAGTGTTGCTACTGGTCTTGTAGGGGCCTGGAGCCTAATCTAGTATGACACAAAGTAAGTCCTCATGGGGATATAGAGTGTTCAAGAAATGTGGCGTCCTGGGAGACAGTCTGGGCACCGTACTTCCTGCTGCTACGTTTCTGGGCATTCTGTATTCCCAAAATGACTTATTCTATGTCATAAAGTTGGCTATAGCTCTGGAAAAATCTTTTCTTTCTACATTCTGCTATCCAAAAACAAGGTGTGTGTTTTATTTGGGGACATGTGATATGTGAGAGAATTCAGTAAGCTGATGCTTCTTGGGGCTTCACTGTCTTACTATAATCCACTGAGTAGGATTTTAGGGCTTAAGAAGTCTTGTCTTTTAGCAGCAAGAAATATTGACTGGAAGGATGGGATGAAACTAATTGTGCTAATCAAAGTGAAGCCATACTACACCCATTTTCCTTCAATTACACCAAAGGCTAAAGAGAACCTCTGGGCTCACAATGGTAATAGGACAGCTTTAGTCCCTTGTGGGCATGTCTATATGTGTGCTTTAATGCTCAGTAGCCTATTTTACTGCACATTAAAGTGCCACTTAAAAAAACATGCAATTATGCTAATGCACAGTAAAATAAGCTACTCATTCGTTACAGTGTGTATTCGTTACTGTGCATTAAGGCAGCCTAATGTGCATTTCTTTAGTACCTCACATTGGAGGTACTAAATTTAATGTGCATTAGAAAAAGCACCTTAATGCACATGTAGACACACCCAGTATATACTAAGTAACTTCTTGTTAACTGAGTTGTGTGAAACTTGGTTGGAAGTTCTAACCTAGTAGCTCTCAGCTTTTTCCCTGCTGTCATCATGGTGTCCACAATGCTTCTGACTTTGCTGTCAGCCATGGGTTATAAAAAGTTAAATTTGAGGTTGACAGGGAGACCAAACTATGATGTTGCCTGCTGCATGTTACTTGGGCTTTCAAAGGTAGCAGATTACTGTTCTAGTCACCCCTAAAGGGAAGGAGAAAAAGGCGGGGGGGGGACACAGGACAATTAGCCCTTTTTTTTGCTTGCATTGGCTAACTGACAGCAGAGCCAATAAGTACTGCTCCCTGCTAAGGAGTGATGCTATGGTTTGTGCTCACCTTATGTCAAAGAACCTGTTGTCATCGAGTCCTACAGGCATATCTTTGATGCAACATAAAAGAATACAAAGGGTTGAAAAGAGAGGTCAGTTTCAGATTCAGTCCAGGTCTTGACACTGATAGCAATGATGCTGGAATCCAGAAGGATGTTTGCATTCTTTTAGGAACAGCTTGAAGAAGCTTGTGCTGATAGGAAGAATTCAACACTTGGGAAAGATTAAGGTTTTGTGTTTTAATTTTTGCATCCGTGGTGTCTGGCACAGAAGTCACTTCTTTCACAAAGTTAATTCAGTCTCAGCATTGTTTTGCCTTCCCTACTGTCTGCCAGAGATTTTTGGATGTTGTTTTGTGGTGTGTGCTGAGGAGTGTTCTTTCCTTTAAGATACAGACTGGAAAACTGTCTTTGTATAATCAAAAGGTGACCACTCCTCCAGGCTTCTGGTTATGAGCTTGAGCATTTGTTTTCTGACTCCAAGACTAGGAACTCTGAACCAGAGTCCTGAGAGAAAGGCCATATGAATTTTTACTAAACCTGCTCCTTGTTGTTATTCTTATTGAAAAGGGGAAATAACTGGTTTTATTTGTATTCTGGCCTCCTTTTTGACAGGGGCTCTAATCAAGCAGGCCTGGCTAGGCCACACCTGCCCCTGATCCCTGAATAATGTGACTGACCCAGTTCTCTCAAACCAGATTGACTGCTGAAAGCACCATTCACCCATTTTTAAACACACCTGCAGTGTCAGAAAAGACTGAGGCTGTGTCAAGACTTGTGTTCACAGCTCTCCCTGGTTTTTCTGACTTCTGACCTGGCTTTGGTTTTTCCTGACCCTGATCTTGGATCTCTCCCAAAACTTGGGACTGATTTTGCTCTTTCTGATTTCCCTGGTATCCTGACTTGACTTGATTTCCTTGACCCTGATCTTGGATTTTCTCTGGAACTTGGCTGCATACTCTCCCCATCCCAATGCTCTGGTAACCTGTGCCCCTGCCCTGCTGACCCCCTAGTTGCCCCCCACCAGGGCCTATCCACAGGCCCACCTATGTTCTGGTGGCCAAACTCTCACACCTTTGCCTTGAACCTCTACAGTAGGGTGGACTTGAACATTTTCAACTCTTGTAATAGGAGCAACTTTTTCCAGGTAGGTTGGAAGGGTCTGCCTATATATTTTACTAGCTTTGGCTGCTGGAAGCTTAAGATCACCATAAATCTGGGCTGTGGGTATATACCTTCCAGCTGGTTTCCCTTGAGGGGAAATCCATATAGACTTTCAGACAATACAGCAAACAATAAGTTACCATTAGTTTCTTTGGTTTAACAGATGATGTAGATGGAAATGTTCTGGAATTAAAAGACCCAAAAAAACCAAAAGCCATCTGAGTTGAGGGCACTGAGAACTACCTGTAAAATCTCTTTAAAACAAAATACTGTATTTACTTACTTACCACATGCACCTTTTCCCCACAAATCAGCCCCTCTCCCCACCCCCACCCCACCTCAATTGAGGTGCATTAGTTAAGCGGGAAACTGATTTTTCTGCCCAGAATAGAAGCGCCCCATTTTGATTCCTGATTCACCCAGTAGCAGCAGTGACATGTCTATTCAGTCACCGAGAGAGTTAATCGACTTACTAGCTCATTGTTCTTCCTCAACAGGTGTTAATGATCATTTCTGTTTTTTACTGTTCTTGATGTTCCACTAATCAAGCTAACCTTTCCATTGGAAACCATGTTTTAGCTCTTTTCAGAATCATAGCTCCACCCATGGAGACTAGTCTTAAACAGCAGCTAAGTTACCAGTTTTTGGTAAATCAGGCGAAAGAGGGTGAGTGAGCTGAATATTAAGTTCTGTTATGGTGCAGCCATAACTGGAAAAGGTGGGGTTTTGTGTTTGTTTGTTTGTTTTTATTCTGCCTTCCCAAAAACAGTGTGTGTGTGTGTGTGTGTGTGTCGTATTTAGGGGTGTGTGGTATATGAGAAAATATGGTATTCGCTGAGTGGGGATATGCAAGAATGCATTTATTTATCTATTACAAATACATTTTGGCAGAAGTGTATAAATAGATACTTATATAAAGGAAATGAGAACTGAACATAATTGAAAGGATGTGCTCTCTCTATAATAACTGTCACTGGATCTTTGGTTGAGGCCTAAAGCAGTGGCTTATGAGACCTGGTTTGTCTAAATGTAACTCTTCCAAGGTGATCTGTTCAAAGGATTCCAGTTACTGAGTAACCACTTTTTCCTGTGTGGTGACATCAGCCTACACAACATTAAAAGGGCTGTTTTACAAGCTTGATTGTCTGCCTCAGGTGCCTCTCTCCTTTATTCAGATCCTAGAGCTGTTAATGACATAGATACTAAAATACCACATTTCAATCTGTAAAGGAGGTGGGTGCTGTGAAATA